TCCCGGTTGATCACAGATCGGAAGCCCGCCCACTCCTTTGGCGATCCCGGTAGGTCACACGTTGTAAACCCGCCCTCCATTTGCTGCTTCCCATACGCAATACTTAATTAACCTGATGATTATTGCGTTTTTTTATGGGTCCCGGGTTGTAGGCTAGGTTTAGCATGCCCGGTCGTGTTGCGACTCCGGTTCAGCCGATATCGTAGACACAACCCCTCGTTTGGCGATTCCGGTTCACCACACATCTTAAACACGGCCCCTCATTTGGTGACGTCGGCTCATCATGTTTGTCTGAAACACCCCCCTCATTCGGCGATTGCGACTCATCATATGTGTTAGACATGCCGTCTCATTTTGCGATTCCAATTCACCACATATCGTAAACATGCCCTCTCTTTTGGAGATTCCAGTTCATCATGTATCTTAAACTCGCCCCCTCATTTGGCGGTTCCGGTTCATCACGTTTCCAAAATGCGCCCTCTCCTTTGGCGTTCCTCATGCATGTTGGGCACGCCTCCTCGTTCGCGATTCCGGTCATCATATTTCGTAAACACGCCCCCTCCTGTGGCGATCTCGGTTAGTCACATTTCGATGGGGGCTCATCACGTCCTTCAAACAAGCCCCTTCCTTTGGCGACTCCGACTCATCACAAGACGCCCTTTAATTTGGCGTTTCCGCTTCATCATATATCCTGAACTCGCCCCTTCTTTTGACGTTTCCGGTTCATCACAGTTCAAAAGTTCGCCCCCTCATTTGGCGATTCCGGTTCCTCATACATCTTGAACATGCCCCCTCATTTGGCGATTCTGGTCATCATATGTGTCTCAAACACGCCCCCCCCCCCCCATTCGGCGATTCCGGTTCATCATATATCATATCCTAAACATGCCCTCTTGGTTCCTCATGTATCTGAAGCATGCCCGCCCTCCTCCTTTGGCGATGTCGCTTGATCACATTTCTCAAGCAGCCCCCATCATTTGGCGATCCTCGTTCATGACATTTCATAAATGCGCCCCCCTCCTTTGACGATGCCGACTCAATGCATATCTTAAACGCCCCTGCAGTTTGCGATTTCGGTTGAGCATATATCTTGAACCCGCCCCTCATTTAGCGATCCGATAGATCACACAGCTTGGTCCCGTCCCGCCCCCTCCTTTGGGGATTCCAATGCATAAACGTGCCCTCTCATTTAGCGATCCCGGTTGATCACAGATCGGAAGCCCGCCCACTCCTTTGGCGATCCCGGTAGGTCACACGTTGTAAACCCGCCCTCCATTTGTTGCTTCCCATACGCAATACTTAATTAACCTGATGATTATTGCGTTTTTATGGGTCCCGGGTTGTAGGCTAGGTTTAGCATGCCCGGTCGTGTTGCGACTCCGGTTCAGCCGATATCGCAGACACAACCCCTCGTTTGGCGATTCCGGTTCACCACACATCTTAAACACGGCCCCTCATTTGGTGACGTCGGCTCATCATGTTTGTCTGAAACACCCCCCTCATTCGGCGATTGCGGCTCATCATATGTGTTAGGCATGCCGTCTCATTTTGCGATTCCAATTCACCACATATCGTAAACATGCCCTCTCTTTTGGAGATTCCAGTTCATCATGTATCTTAAACTCGCCCCCTCATTTGGCGGTTCCGGTTCATCACGTTTCCAAAATGCGCCCTCTCCTTTGGCGTTCCTCTTACATGTTGGACACGCCCCCTCGTTCGCGATTCCGGTCATCATATATCGTAAACACGCCCCCTCCTGTGGCGATCTCGGCTAATCACATTTCGATGGGGGCTCATCACATCTTTTAAATAAGCCCCTTCCTTTGGCGACTCCGACTCATCACAAGACGCCCTTTAATTTGGCGATTCCGGTCATCAGATGTGTCTCAAACACGCCCCCTCATTCGGCGATTCCGGTTCATCATATATCCTAAACATGCCCTCTTGGTTCCTCATATATCTTAAGCATGCCCGCCCTCCTCCTTTGGCGATGTCGCTTGATCACATTTCTCAAACGTCCCCATTATTTGGCGACCCTCGTTCATGACATTTCATAAATGCGCCCCCTCCTTTGACGATACCGACTCATCACGCATATCTTAAACGCCGCTGCAGTTTGCGATCCCGATAGATCACACAGCTTGGTCCCGTCCCGCCCCCTCCTTTGGGGATTCCAATGCATAAACGTGCCCTCTCATGTAGCGATCCCAGTTGATCACAGATTTGAAACCCGCCCACTGCTTTGGCGATCTATATCATGCGTTTTAAACCCGCCCTCCATGTGGAGCTTGTGCGGGTGATCCCACTTCGTCGCATTTCTTACAAGTGTGCCTTTCATCACACATCCTGAACCCGCACCCGCATTGGGTGACTCCCTGCGCCTAGGCCCAGGCCTACACCTAGGCTAGCCCTGGACCTAGCCTAGGCCGAGCCCTGGGCCATGCCCCGTGTTTACACGGTAAAAGTTGATCCCATTCTTCAACTGCCGCCCCCTCGTTAGGCGATGGCTGTTGGCCCCGTTCATTAAGCCTCTCGAGTGTGCGCCGAGACCTGCCCCTCACTAGGCGATCGCGGTTGATCTAATTTCTTACACCTGCTCCCTCACCTCATTGGCTGGTTGATCTCATTTCTTGAAGGGCTTGTGTGAATTTTGATGCTGTGTGGGTGGGTAGCGAAGGGCACGGTAAGGTAGCTTCTTTGGTGTTTCTGTTGCTTTTGCTTCCATGCCGCTCTTTGGTGCGTGAATCAAGTTTTGGAAGTGTCAAGCAGCATTGGGGCACCGAGGACCGAGGTAGGGCACGGTAGGCTAGGGTCTAGGTCCTTATTGGTGCTGCCTCAGTGCACGAAGCGGGGTTTATGCAGCCACTGATTGCAAAACACGAAGGATGCCCGACCTGATGTCTGAAACTATATTAAAAGTAGTCCTTAAGTCAGTTCCTCAACACGGAGCCCCTGAATCTTACATGTGCGGCTTTCTGGCCACCAGCCACTCAACCTGCCACTTCCTCTCCTGCATTCCCAAGATCTACTGGGAGTTATTCTAACAATCAAGGTCTTTACCAAGGAGGGGCCATCATGAGTACACTTCCTTACGAAGAGATCCCGAATGAAACGGAGCTACCTCATGGCTGTTCTAGGGACCGGTATTTCGAACAACTACGGGTACAATATACATGCACCTACGGACAGTACTTCGGGTTGAAGTGTACAGCATGGCGTGGCCTTGAGAAGAGCCGTAGGTAGACCGAAGCGCCCTGGAGAACACAACCACCGACCGAGGCCCTTTGGGTGTTGTTTGGCTGCCTTTTTGCTTCGGGGAGGGTTGGGCACCAGCAACAGTCTCGGCCTTGACATATGACCTAGGCTCCAGGGGATGCACCGCAATGGTTCATGGTCCATCTAGCGCGCGTATGTTCGTTTGGCGCATGAACTTGATAGATTCTGACTCCTAGACATGCGCTTAGATGATACTGTACTGTACCCGTGTTCTGGGCGAAGACTTGAAGTTTTGTCTCGATGCTTCTATGTCTAGGTGCTTGCCGCATCTTGGTCAGACATGGCCGGTATACGTATAGCGACAGGCTTGACAGTGTTGATGCCTGCTTATTTTGCTGAATCAAAAAGGATCACTCCCAATGAAAAGGGACAGAGTTCGCACCCCAGAGTCTCTGTGTGTGTGCGCTCGCGTGCAACTCTTTGCACGTAGCTGCACGAATTGCAAGCAAGCCAAGCCGTGGATGTTAGCAAGCAAACTTCACGGTCACGCACACTCTGCATGCCCGAAAGCTTCCGAAATTTCTTCACTAGAAGACCGCACACCACGCCTTGGCGGCCGTACTTGTTTCCCGAAGTGTTGATACCGTGCTGGCTGCCGATGCAGCTTGAACAGCTGCACTTGCGAAAGAACGTCTAGTGACGCGTCCGGGGACAGCTTCACGTGGTGTACTTGCCTAGTATTTCTCCGTGGGGACGCACCAGTGTGGATGGTTTTCTCAGCGCTTGGGTATGGGGCCGAATGCCGCCAAGTACTCAAACATCCTCCAAAGACCGTTCTGCAGGGTATCTTCTGCTTCTTCTGGGTCGTGTGGCGGAGCGTGCAGCAGATATCTGTGGCCGTGCGCGCATCATCGACGCGCGGCTTATAATTTATAGTTCGGTTTTGGGTTCGACGGGTCCCTAAAACTGAACTGCTGCTGTCCAGGTTTCTGACGAAAACCTATGTGACTGGGATGTGACTTCGCTGATGGATGGGTCTGCTCGAGCTTGCGTCATGCTTTTGATAGCCCCTTCCCAAAAAAAAACCTTCGGAGTGCCTTTGTCATCTGAGGTCGAAATTCGCCTTCCGGTCGAGACTCGCTTGGGGAGGCAGCTTGCCGACCATAAGACGCGGACCCAAGCCCAAGACTTTGTGCTTATGAGGTTTCACTTCCCGGGCACGTTTCCCGCACATCCGCCAGTCCTGTGCTGCATTCGGCCCCGCCTGACACTCACAAACGCGGCGAGCAAGGTCCCCTTGACAGACGCTGGCATCCTGCGCTTGCCAGAGCTATCAATGATGCATTGGCGACCTGACCATGACCTAGTGGATATTGTTCTTCAAGTTTGCACAGTTCTTTCATCCGACGGGCTTGTGCTGGACCCATCGGAGAGGTCATATTCCTCGCCACCTGGAAACGTTGGACTCGGAAAGACAGTCAAGCTACCCACAGTTTCGCAGTGCATTGAGTTTTTCCCAGCTTCAAGTCTCGATCTCGCTGCAGAAATGTTCCCCGAACTTGCTGACGTTCCACCTGGTAGAGTGGTATTGTCCCAGCGGCATGCTCTGGACATTTACAGTCGCATCTTCGGAACTGAGCAACAAAGCACGGCGGCTTTCCACGTGGAAATCAAGAACTGCCGTAAAGAGATCCGAGCATTTGCTGGAATGGCAGAGGTGTCTGCACTGGAAGAGCCCGTTGTACTTTTACCCTCGCGTATGATGCAGCAGCTCTTTTTGGAGGATGGCGACCCGGTGCGCGTCCGTGCAGTGTCGCTTCCCCTTTGTGGCTGTGTCCACCTGCAACCTAAGAGCCAGGAATTTTTACGAAATAGTTGGTGCTGAGCCAGAGCTCGTCTTACAGGAGTCGCTGGCGCGCCTTCCAGCTCTGACATCCGGGTTGTCCATCCAGGTCGAGGTGGCCATAGCCAACAACTTTCAAATTGGGCTGCGGAGGGTGGGTGTTGTCGTTGCTCGATTGGAGGACCTCTCAGGCAATGACGTGTTGGCTGTCAAGCTTCCTGGTCACGCCGGAGTGCTCGGTGACCACGAGGTCCGCGTGGAGCTCCTTCCGGCCGCAGACCTGGCCGAAAGCATAAAGGAGCATGAGGCGAGGCTTTGTGCAGAAGCTCAGCGCCAAGCGAAGATTCAGCAAATGCTGGAAGAGAAGCATGCTCGACTCAATGTCCGTCGAGCGGATATTGCGCACAGTTGTCATTTAGACAAGGCATGTGAACTCAACTCCACAGTTGAGCTTTCCTTCCGGTTTCCAAACGGAAGGCAGCTGCGACACCGATGCCCCATCGACAGAACTGTGTCAGACTTGAAGCGTCGCCTCTTCGGCTTGCTTGGAGACTCTGATTTGTGGAAGCCGGGTGTGGACGACGCAGCAGCTTTGGAATTGACGATGTTTCCACGGAGAGTGCTCTGCGATGCAGATATGGTGTCGCAGATAGGCGACCGGGCAGTCGTTCATGTTACAGAGAGCCTTGAGGCAGTGCAAGCGGCAGGGCACTCTAAAGCGATATTGGATTCTGTTGTGTACCCAGCGGGATTGGAAGAAGCAATTACATCTTCAACGCATGATTGTGGCCTGAAAAAGGTCGTAGCTGTCGATCAAAGCACGTACACCCCGGACCGTTCTGCACGAATATCGCCGGTCCGCGAAGAGGGCTTGGAGACCCTGCCCTTTGCAGAGCTTCGCAGACTGGCATTGACTTTGGGGCTGCTTGCTGCAGACATTGCACGTGCTGTTGATAAGCCAGAGCTGCTAGAGCTCATTACACAGCACCAACGCCGAGCAGCCCGGCATGCTAGGGTCAGAACCCATGAGAATGCAGAAAGGTCAAACGGCGCTGAGCGCAGAGCCTCCTCTGTGTCTGCTCGTGTCAGCTCTCAGTTGCCCCATCCGGGCAACCGTAACAGAAGCAGCCTGTCTGTCGGAGCACGTGATCGACGCCTCGACTCCACTGTGGCCACGCCAGCCATCCGCCAAGCGGATTTTGTGCCACGTGGCAGTACGCATAGTACGCCTTCAGCTCGTTTGCCTCGGCCTCCACCGGGAACTGCGCCGGGCCCGGTGCCGCGGGCAAGTGCTAGATCTGCTCCAAGATCAGCAACTCGCAGCCCGCCAAGTCACCCCGAACGCGATGAGGCTCCTCACATGTCGCGGAATCCGAGGAGCCACGCGCCACGTCCACAGGAGCCCCTGCGATGTGCGGGTCAATTGATGCTTGGGCCAGTTGGGATGGTCGGCAACAACTGGACACAGCAGCAAAGGGCCGGACAGAGACACCGCTGGGGGGAATAGGCTGGCTCAATTTCTCCGCGTCCAAAGCGACGTGCTCAGTGATGCTCACGGTTTGGACATGACCCTTTTGGCAAGACGTTTGCTGCAAAGGAGGGCCGGAAGTAGTGTTGTAGCGCCCGCGAAACTCAGATCCCAGACATGCGCCGGACGACGTTCCTTTGAATGTCCCAGAGCCAGCTGCATCCGAAATCGTCCCATAATTCTGTGTTCTGGCTTCTTTTCACAGCCGAAGCATTCGGAAGCTAGCTGGCTTTGCACATTGTGGACAGGGTTGATGTGCCAGCCTTCGAGAACCAAGAGTTCCCGGCTAGGTCGTCAAGTAAGTCGAACCTGAATGAATTCCACATCTCCACATGGTAAGTTGGTGCGAAACGGAGTAGCGAGTTAGAGAGGGGGGGCAGGACGGGCATGTTTTTTTGGCAATCAAATGCACTCCGAAGCCATTTGGGTCTCAGCCCTCCCACGTTTGCCCGTCACGGTGTAGTTGCTTCTTTCATCGACGGCCAAATTCCGAAAGAAAGCTGGTTTCGTGCATGTGCGTGCGTTTGATGCTTTTGTGACTGCAGAGAGAAATTTCGACGGGTGGTGCGCACGCAAGGTCATGCTTTTCGGTCTTCTTTGGTTTAGTGGCGGCATTGTCCTGGGCGCCCAGTTTTCTGACTGGGTTAAGCCACGATCTTAGTCCTGCACCAGTACAGCAGTCATTGCAGCGAGGTTTCTTACATTCTCACCTTGTCGACAATCCAGGCCAGTGTACGAGAAGACTCTTTCCAAGGGCTGCGAGGTGCCAGCGGGAGCGGTATGGATGTACATCAGAAGGGATGTTTCAAAATGCGTGACAAGTGATGTCAGTAAATGTTCGTTCGATGCCAGGTGTGGTATGACAAGGTCCTCGGCAAGACCAGCGAGTCTAACGAGCCGGTGCGCAAGCCAATGTTGGTAGCTAGCGTCGGAAAGTCGAGCAGCGTTAACATCTCCTGCCAGCCTCCCGCAAGCTGAACGACAAAGGCTGGGTGTTCAGCGGCTTACTTGCCATTTGCACGACGGTGCAAGTTTTCGTTGCTCGTTCTGTGTTGGGTCCAAGGTGGTATGGCATAAAGCCCATGGAGCTGGCGTAGTGCGTGCCCGGGGCTCAGATTTGGAAGCATGATGCTGCATGCCCCGAAGCTTGACTGGCAGGTACACGTCAACGCGCACGAAGGGTTCTTGAAGCTGACGGCTTTTCCTTGCTGGAGACTTGGGGAGGTCCTTCGTTTCTCAGATTACAGCATCGGACCCCGCCCCGGGTCTCACATCCAGACTCAAAGATGCGCTCTCAACAAGAAAAATAGAAGATCATCGAAATTAATATATATAAATGGAGATACATTTATTATATGGCGACGATATTGAGATGAGTTTCATTTTTATTCAATTGATAAGGGCAAGGTCAAATTAAGGAGATAAGATTTCTATAGATCTTATCGGAAGAATAATGATGATTCGGATAAGAAAAGATGGAGATAAAGATTAGATCAAAATTTTGGAAAAAGATTCAAAGGAGATAAATATAAATCTAATGAGAAAGATAATGATAAGACTATTAAATCTAAAATTTGTATGTTATAGATACGAATATTGATCTAAGGTAGGTCTCAATCATTATAAGGCAAGACATGAAATTGATTTTATATATAGAATAGAATTTAATTTTAATTGAATATTTCTTCAATATTTAAAAATATATCGATATATTAATTTCGAAGACCTTATGAGATAATTTTGGACGATCTAGAAGAAGAGCATATGGATGAAATCTATTTTGATTTATGATATTTCTAAAATTGAATTAATTGTTAATAATTAGTGCGAATATTCTATTATTTGATGAAATAATGATGATGGTTTTCATGAAATATCTGAAGATAATATAGAATATATTTGAATGAGACTTGCTATTATTAAAGATAAATATAAAATGACCTTCGAATTAAGATTTTATTATATTATATATTTATATGATATATTCTTTATTAGAAAAATATAAGAGAAAAATCGATAGCATTATATTTATGAGATAATGGAATAATGGTCTGATAATGATCGAAATCGATCGAGAAATTATTAACATCATTTAATTCAAGATAATGAAATGCTAATAAATAAAATTAATTTCTTTTCTATTTAGAAAAATATTTCGATATTAGGCGATCATAATTTAAATGATATAAATATATTTAATTTTTGATTTTTATTCGAAGAAGAATTCTCTTGATATTTATATATATTTTTATCGAATCGATTAAGAAGAAGAGCAATAAGTTGGTGGAGATCCGGATGATGAATGAGTTTTCAAAAGAATTTGGCACATTTATTTAAATTCCGATTTGGAATTCATCTTTAGAGATGCTTCTAATTAAATCATTTAGATATTAATTTCTAGCTAATTCTTAATATAAGAACGTGTATTGAATTGATCTTTAGGAGTGATTATATAGGATTATTTTGTTGTATAGATGAGGTCGGAAGAATGAAATTTTGAGTTAAAAGATTATTGAGAGATCATGAAAGAAAGAGAATTCGAAGAGAAAGAGTCTTAGATTCTCGTAAAAGACCTTCCAGAGTTTTAGGATAGGATAAATAATCTGAATATCTAATAATATCTCATGAATAATGCATCTTGAAGAATCTCAAGACGATTCTATGTAAATCCCAGATCCATTCTAAGATTCTATCGAACCTCTTGATGGAGAATAGGAAAATAAATTAAATATCCGTTGTTTTTCTAGGGTCTTCTCTTATAAAAATTGAAGATGAAGAAGAAGAAATAATGAAATTAGATGGAACAGGATTGACAGCATAAAATTAATTAGATGAGTTTCGGTAAATTTGCCAATCATTGAAAATATCAATGAATGGAGAGAAAGGAATGATATGGAAGAGATTCAAGATGATTCAAGATGATAAAATAATAGAATAAAAAAGTACACTAAGAAATTTCCGATATTTCGAATTGAAAATATATAAAAAAATATAGGTTGATATGTTGCAAGAAAAATCTCCGAATATTATATTTGGAATCATATGATATTATTTATCTTGTCAGAGATTATTGATATGAGATATATATTAGAGCCAGATTCCGAAAAGATAATTATGACGATCCAACAGAAAAGAGAGAATTTCCGATAATCTCGCTTGATTTTCTGAAAATATAGATTAGTGAAGAAGAAATATCTTATGTTAAATACCTCTGATCTATTATCTTTGATCTATTGATATATAAATAAAATATATAATATCTAGTCTTTTATTTCTTTATGAGACGAGATATAGGAATTTCTGAATATGATTCGTGGATTTAGATATTTCATTAATATCTTGAATTATGATATAGAAATTTTATGATTCCTACGAAGAATATAATCATAAAGGTGCAAGCACAAGATAATCTAATAATAGAATTAGAATCAATAGCTCGTGATCTTATAATTCATAGAATTTTATGATTTGAGGAGAATAATCAATCAGATTATGAGAAATTCTTGAATTTGTTAATTAGAAATTATTTTATAAGAGAGAAGAATATGATAGAATTTTGAAGCTCGGAATATTTATGGATATATATTTTTTTTTATTTTTTGGGATTAAGATTCAATATTCGGTAAGAAGGATATATAATATATGAATTAAAATGAATTAAATCATAGAAAGAAATATGATCAGAAATTATATCTATTCGATTCAGCAATTTTCGTTCAATATCTGTCGAAATAGATGAATAAACGAGAGATATAGAAATGAAATATCTTCTTAAAATATTCGAGATCCGGAAATTTCAATGATATCGAATATTTGATCTGTCCATAATATGATTTAGAATTATTAAGAATAATAAGAAGAAGATCTTGAGATCAGATTCTCTATATGATTTTGATTCCAAAAAAAGAATTAAAAATATATCTTCTCAATTTAATCGAGGTAGCAATAGTCAATGGATCCAATTGTGGAGTCTGCGAAATTATCGAGCATTCCGAATTTGAGGATTTCTTATCTCGTGAATCATCAAATAGATCCGTTTATCTTCGGAATTATTATCAGAAATATTAGAAATATATCAATTCTTGATGAATACGAGCAATGAGGAAGAATGAATTTCAGATATCTGATATGAAATCGAAGAATATTGGAATGATTTTCTTGATATATCATGATAGATCGACAGAATCTTGTAAGAAATTGAATAGAAGATATATGAAGAAAGATCTCCTAATCTAGGAATAGAAGAATTAGAAATCATCAATAAAACGATAGATAAAAGTGAGAATCAAAGGCATTTATAAGAGAAAGGTTTGGAAAATATAGAAGATAATGAATATATTTCAGAGATATTCAAATTGGTATAAAAGAATATGAGAGATTGGAGATTCAGATAAAATAAATATAAAAATATTTCAGATTTGAAATCAAAATTTCAAATTCTTATAATCATTAGTAGAGAATTTCAATAATCTAATTCTAAAAGAAATCAACGCAGAAGATATTTATAGATCTCGCTTGCAATATTCTATGTCTGCGAATATATAAAGGAGATATCAATAGAATATATCTTGTATATAGATAAAAAATCTATTCTTGATAATAATAAATTGAAATTTTGAGCGAATTGAAGAATATAATAATGATATCTGATATTCGTCTCAATTTATATTTGGACGAACTTCATTTATCATAATTCGATAAATGAATGATCGCGGATATGATGAATATATGTCCATTTATATATTGTTATTATAGCATCTCATATTCTGATCTTGATTCTTGGAGAATTCAAGTCATATTAATCATAATTATATTTCTCATAATATATTGATATTCTAATTCCTCGAATCGGACGATTAATCTTTCTTAGATTATTTTCTTGAGAGAATAATCGACACTAATAAAATTTCAGAAGATTCTCCAATTTTTATCATCATATTTATAATTCTTTTAGATATTAATCTATCTAATATCAATTT